CCAAAATCTTTTAGCTTTCTCTTTGCCTCTTTATTTCTTTTCTTAATGTAAAACATTTTTTGTGTTTGCTATTAATCATGAGGGTATATAATCTACAAATCAAATAGTTTAGCATAAAGAACCCCATGATAGGGTAATATATAGATTTTGCATGAATTAATTTCAACTCGAGACGACATTTTTGACTTCGAGCGTTAGAAAACGAGAGTATGATATCTTAAAGACGTCTTGGTTATCTGCATTTGTAATGAATTATGATAGATTAACTTTCTTCTGCAGTGTTTAAGCGTATATTTTTGCTTGCTATATATGTTTTTGATTATCAGAAAATCCAATAAATAAAACCCACACTTATCCACAAAACCTTTCAAAAGTGCACTATAGTTACCAGTGAAAACATTATTTTAAACCTAGTGACAGAAATCTCAAAGATTTCATCATTCATGCATATATAGCACCTCTGTTTTTTTTTTATATTACACATTTTCATCACAAATTTCTTGAGACCTCCATTGCAAAAAGGTTTCACGAATGCCCTGCCAACCACAGACGAACAATGCCGGCACCACATTGATGAATACTATACTATCACGATTTGATGGTTTTATTGAATTAGTGTTTTTTAAGGGATTAATATACATTGATGACTAAACGGCCACGGAATTTTATGGCTAACGGTGGCTATAGCTACATATTATAATTTATAAGTACGCAATTCCGGCATATATAGCTATGTGACAAAAAAATTAATGTTGCAAGCTCGTCGTGATGGTAGCCTTGGAAGAATTGTTGTTAAATCCGTCGCAAGTAGTCACTATAGAACCTATGGCCAAGGATAACACTATATATGTCACAGAATGTCACAAATCCTATGTGATAGCAATGAATTTGTCATTTGTGTATGGATCAGTATGTGGTCATCAGTGGCCGAATACAAAAAAAAAAGAGAGAAACAGACAGATATATATATATATATATATATATATATATATATATATATATATATATATA